TAAACCAGACAAAATCACAGCAGCAACCGTTTTTATCTCACAGTATAAGCGTAAAAACGTTAAAAAAGTAATAACAAATATCTATTAAATCTATAAAGTAACAAATACATATTAATTATTACTCAGATTATTATTTCAGTCGTTCTTAATGTATCAAGTGTCTATATGCAAAGACAAGCCCAAAACTATGGTTTTTATCATTAAATGAAGATATAGCCTAAAGATGCCCGGGCCCCCCACCCCATGTTGCATAGTATTTTTGTCAGTAAACTACTCAGTACTGTAATTAATTGTAAAGTTATGTTTTTGTTTATGCAGTAAATGTGTGTATGAAACAAAAAGATGAAATATTATAGAAGAAGAAATCTTACACCATCATTTGCGACTGTATACATATCAACATACTAACTTGTGGTTTTATAATAATTGTTAGTTAGCTATTGTGCATCACTTTGCCTTTCATTGTTTCTACAAGTTGGCCTTCCATGCACTTTTTTAAGTTTAATTCTGGTTTATGTATTTAAAGCTTGTGTATCTGTGGTCAAATCTCTGAAAATTTGACATCTGTTTAATGCATTTTTCTTGTTGTTTCTATTTAATGCTCAAGGTTTCTTTTATACTAAACAATGTACATGAGGATTTCTTAATATTAACACAGTGTAGTCAATTTTTAATCATAACGTGCTAACCAGTTGAACATTGGATAGTAACAAACAATCAGTATGATTAGATAATGTTGATTTTCAAGACTTTTTTTATGCTAGTATGTTACCAATTGCATACTTGAAACCTAAAACATGCATAATATACATAAAACAGTAAGTACTGTGGAGCTCCTAGGTGGCTCAGCAGTAATTTGGAAGGATTACAATGCTAAAAATTGAGTTTCAGCACCGATGGTGAGCAGAGTACATATAGCCCATTGTGTAGCTTTGTGCTTAATAAAACCAAAAACATGGCACGGAAAGCTTAAATTGGGGCCTGCCGGGTATGTTGAAATAGTGTTGTTGTTTTTTTTCAATTTTGTAGCACTTTGCATTGATATTTTACACATATACACTGGAATATTATATACATATCTTGGGTTTCATGAAATGTTCATTTTTAAGAAACTTCTATGCAACAAATCAACAATACTGTCTCTCTCTGTTGGCTATGACATTAAACACAAACATGCATAATTCTGAAATAGAGTATTCTTCAGAATATAGGGATTTATTTTTGCCAGGGAGGGGTGACTATCAACAAACCTGAGATTGTCAGATATCACTTGCACATGAAGGGGGTTGTTTTATATTATAACTAGTGGCACTATACAATATACAAGTTTTTGAAACTTTTGGCAAATAAATATTTAGAATCTCCTAATGGAAATTTTGCTGTTGTTTTGGTCCCCATAGAAATTTCACTTTTTGAGTGTGACCACTGCTACACTCCCTATACAAATCTAAGGGGGAGTAATTGCTCCCCTAGTTCCTGTGCCATTATCCACTAGTACCTATTGCTGCTTGTTTTACAGATCTGTCATTGCTAATAGTTTGATATATATTTATATATAGTCACATTAGTATTTAATGATTCTGGGCTTGTGTTCATAATTTCTCTCACCTATAGCTTCAACTTCTAATATCACATGTGAGTAGACAAAAGTTCTAGTGTTTAACGGGACAGGGTCACAAAGAATAGTTTCTAGTATCATCTACTATGTTTACAGTAATCTATTAGCTAAATGTTGTATGATATTTGCATTGCATTATTTTGCGATGTAACATGCATGTCAAAATCTATGATGTTAATGTTCAACATGATTGACGTTATTAAACTTTTGTAATTCTATTGTTTTCACATTTGCACCCAAGATTTGCTTTAAATGTGAGTATCTGAAAATAGCTTAAGAGCGGTGGTTCTTTTTGAATTTTGGTAAGATATGAATATATGTAATTATAAGAAGGGTATGTTCAAAGTAAAAAGTATAGGCTGTGCTCCTGTATTCCATAATTCATTTGCAAGCTTATAGCTATATTGAAATATGATAGGATTTTAGTTACAACAAATTATAAAAGTGCATATTTTATGAGGACATGCAACTTTTAATATGTATGGAATTCAGTGCCAAGTAATCAGTGTGATATCTCCATTGCATTCTATATTTTCGAATTGTATTTAGGGTTTGACATTTAACATAGTAACTTTGAACTTAATGGTTAAACCCACTTGCATTTGTTCTATGTATCATCCTGTATTTATCTATTGTTTTAATTGATTATTCTGGATCAGTGAATTGTGTAAAATACTTATCAGCTTTTTCGAAAATTTTCTTATTCCTATTATCTTGCCTTAAGTACTACAGTTATTTTTATGTAAATTAAACAAGTTAAAAGTCTGAAAGTTTGTCTTTCATGTTTCTTTGCTCTGTTTTTAAGTTCCGTTATTGTTGAAACCCAAACTTTTTATTTTCTTTCTGTATCATTTCCTGCATACTCTTGAGTAATGATATTGTTTTGCGTATAGTATCGATAGGATATTTCCTTGGCTCAAACATTCACCATATATTTTCCATCCATTAAGATGTATATTACCATGCATTTGTAATGGACATTCATCTCAAAAATATTGGCAGTATAAATAAGCACATGCTAATGTTTATGTAGACTTGTTGTACATCTTAAAAGTTATTTTGCAAAGGATGTGTTGGTATGTATATGAATATTCATTATTTCATCAGGAACTAAAATATATAAGAATTTCACGTAATTCTTTACATTCATGCTAACTAATAAATTTCTAACAGTTGTAGTGCTCTCTGCTATTCAAGAAAGTGCTGTAACTTGTTGTCCAACAGTTATGGTTTTTTGTAACTGGAATCAGTATGTTTGATACATCTTGAAGTGAACTATACTTTAAAATGGAAGCACATGTCCTAAAGACTTCCATCATAAGCAATTAATTCTGTTAAACTGAAGTTTTGGAAGTAGAAGTTGATGCAAGCAGGAATTTTTTGTTTGTATTTTTCTACTTCAAATTTTTATTTCATTATGTTTCAAGAGAATGGGTAACAAGAGAATATGCCTTGTGAAATAAACTGTACTTGAGTGTGGGAAAAGTTATGTTTATTTTGATGGAAACCAGATAAGTAACAAATTAATACTAAATTATAAATCTTACTATCCAAAAGTTTACTAAAAAGAGTGTTCCTTCTGATTTTGAAGTGAAATAATGCTTTGAAAACTGTTATACAGAGCATATTTTTAATACATTCTTAAAGTTTTCAAAATCTAAGAAAAATATTTATTTATATGTAATACTGTGTTGTTAGCAGTTCATTTGACACCAAAGCTTACATATCTTTGCTCATTGTAGCATTTGAACCAAAGATAATTCAATGTTGTTAGTGTGAGTATCTTTTGAAACAAATTTGTGTGTAATTTTGAATGTTTACTGCCATTTTCCAGGTGGCTTATTGCTTGTTACATAGTAGTCTACCAAAAATACAGTTGTATGTTTTTTGTTGTTGTTTTTTCGTTCTTTCACAGTCATTGGTAATTGCTAAGAAAATGAGCATTGAGCCATAATAGCATAGTTATGTGTATACCAGCATAATGCTGTGGGGAGTTTTAAAATAGAGCAAATTTTTAAAGAGAATTTGTTTTAATTATTCTTTCTTCTGTTGATTAAAAATAGATGTTTAAAAACGTCAATAGGTATTTTCAGGAAGCAACACATTTTTTTAATTCTGATGCATCTCTTGTCCAACAACATTAAACTTAATTACTAATCATCACATTCACAGTTTTGTTTTTAAGGATATGTTTAGCATAAGTATATTAATAAAGTAATAAATAACATGTAGATAGTGCACTTTAAATTCAAACATTCCACCTGCTATGTTTATGTATCTGTGTGTTTCATAAGGTTGATTGTAGTGTTTGTGGAGAAAACCAGTAATAAATAGCATTGTTTTATTGAATAGCTGTGTGGTTATTTCATCTACTTCAGCATTGGAAATGCATAAGTTCTAATACATATTTTTCTTATTATGTATGGAAAATAAATTCATCTACACTCGTATATTTTAATATGTATTTCACAGACTTTTTCTCTTCGGTAAAATATATACATTTAACTATACACCTGGAAAAAAGTTAAAC